TGTACACGTCTAAATATTCAGCTCCAATGAACACATTATCTCATGTTTTTCTCTTCTTTATTTTATGAAAAAAAACCATCTCTTCTAGGCCTAAACACTATCGATGGCATCTACTAAATCGTTTATAAAACTATTTTTACATGTTGATTCTGCTTCGTTTTTGGATGCGTATAGTTCAGAGTTCATTTTGCTTAAAAAAACCATTTCATTATTTTTTTTATACAAGTATATTTTTATTTATAAATCAATACCGTGCAAACGTTGCTACTGAGTATTTTATTATAAACGTTAATTTAGGTACTACAAACGTTAATTCAGGACTACAATGATAATGCCAAAACAAACACATTTATTGGCTCAATATGTGATGAAAGCATGCCCCTTTTGGTCGAGTCACCCAATCTTGTGCTTGGTGTAGAGGTCATGTCACAGCGGTGTAAGTGAACTATATGCAAACTTGCCATGTTTGTGACAAAATCAGATATCTCTGACAATATATACACAATTTAGTAAAACATAGTCTCGTAAGAGTGAGTGAGTGAGTATGGTTTTACGCCGCTTTTAGCAATATTCCAGCAATATCACGGCGGGGACAGCAGAAATGGGCTTCACACATTGCACCAATGTCGGGAATCGAACCCGGGTCTTCGGCGTGACCACTGGGCTACCCCACTGCCCTAGTCTCGTAAGAACCTGGAATGAGAACTTACAAATCTAAATGTTTTCCTGATCAATGGTTCATTAGTCAATTCTATACGGGAAGAGTATAACACAATGTAAAATCCTGTTGCATTTGAGTAGCTCAATTATTTTACCCGTCAACGTGAAACGTTTTTTATATATTTGATCTTAATAATACCGATTTAAGTCTATTACGTCTGTTAAGGCTCACATGTTTTGACAAGCCATTTCCGCTCCACTGTCCAACAACTGGGGTATCTGACAAATTGTGAATGAACCGCGTTGTTAAAGCGATAATCCGTGAAACCTTTTGACACCGTGTCACTTACCGAGAGATGTAGCGAAATAGTTCAATACCAATGGACACTCAATGTTGGACGGTTTATTGGGGTATGAATTTGTAAAATACCATGTCCAAACTGTATGAATTCGCATATTTTTACTAAAGGGATGTCAATGTATGACCATAAAGCAGCTTATCTATTTGAAACAGACCCGATCTCGAATGCCATTTTGTAAATCATGTTCAGGGACTACACTGATCTTAGCAACAAAGAGATGTCCGGAGCAATGGTAGATTTTGTGTTTAGCTTACAAAGCTCTCAGCCTGCAATCGCTTGATGCAAGTGGACTGCGATCGAAGTCGAAGGCAGTCGAAGCCTACAATCGCGATGTCATGGATTAACAATCATTGTAGCGATATAAGATCGTTTTGTTCAAGTGTGAACAGGAAGAGGATGGCACGTTAATTTTCTCAAATTGATTTGTGATCCCCCGACATTCGATTGTGGTGAAAGTAAGCCGTACATTATCTTTTGAATCCTTTAGTAGTTGACCCCTTCAATTAATCGATTGCGTTCACAAATCAACTTCATCGGTCATTCCATTTCAGATGAATATCAGCAAGTGCGTGTTTTTGTAATTAGGTAAATTGAGCAGAGTATATGTGTTGGTGCCTGTTTCTAGTAAATGAATTGACATGTATATCATATAAACGTCATTACACAAACTAAAACAGGAATAGTGTTGCACTTAACAAGGGATATATCAGAAGTGTCAAGCCAAAATAATATTTTATTCCTATATCATCATTCGTGACACTTCTCAGTAGTTAATATTGTGGAAGGCGATGATCTGTTGTTTGTCAGAGCTGCTCAAATGGATCGGGTGGTATGGCTCAGCGACTTGGTTGATTGCGTATCCCGACGAGGTGGATCGTTGCGTATAATATTATTCACTAGATTGTCTGTTCTAGACTATATGATTTACGCATCGTCATGTAGTTGGAATATTGCGAAGTGCAGCATTAAAAAGACAACTCACTTGCAAAATTAAACAAACTCTATACTGAGCTCTCTTACTCTTTCGGTCTTTGTGACGAAAAAGATATGACGTCACAATCTTATTTAGAAAAGCGCCAAATTCCAAGCTCTCTGTTGTCTCCAAAAAGTAAATACATTCTCTTTGTAGATTTCTATCTTGTTTTCTGCACGAAATGTATTGCCACACATCCTTTGAATATTGTGGTAACCGTCACTGTGTATTTTGTAACCCATAATTGTGTATATGATTATTTAAATATGACTACCGACAATACCCGAAAAAGTGCTATTCTATGAATATTAGCTTCCGCGGTGATGGGGCCGTCAAACCAGCTGTTTCATCTAGAGGGGGTTTATTGCGATTTCATAGACTATGATTGGCCAATCAGAATCGAGTTATTTCCTAATTCATGGTAGAATAAAGTTTTATTGTAATTACTGTGATTATTTAAACCTTTTAAATTTATGTGGTCCTGACAAACATTGCATTGGCTCAATATGGGCAAAAACATTTTAACATTGTTATAATAGGATCATATTATCCTCATTATGCTACTATTTTGATCGTAGATATATATTTACTACACTAATTGGACACAACAAATAATATAAATACGATGTTGATACATGGTGTTAATTTCATTGTTTTCTGTGCTGAATCTTTGCATATATGAATTATTGTGTTAGTTATGTATATAATACAACTTAAATAATTGCACATTATTAACAAGAACTTCGATAAAACCGCCCATGAAATTGAATCGACTCGATCGGACATTGATCATAACATCAACATTTATCTTCAATTTGCACAGGGGGCGGTCGGGTAGCCTAGTGGTCAAAGCGTTCGCTCGTCACGCCGAAGACCCGGGTTCGATTCCCGACATGGGTACAATGTGTGAAGCCCATTTCTGGTGTCCCCCACCGTGATATTGCTGGAATATTGCTAAAAGCAGTGTAAAACCGTACTCACTCACTCACTTTGCACAGCCCAAATCAAACATCACATTTACTTGTTCTGAATTCGATCCAAACATTTTGCATCAACATCATTGACATCATCATCAGCAGCATCAGCGACGTCGCTGTCGTAATCAACATCATCACAATAACGTTGTTATGTTAATAATGACTATTGTTGTAAATCTTGTTGTGCTGCATTAATGGAGAAGGCGAGGCTGGACGGGTATTTTATAAATGGGGGCTTATTCAGTATTCTAGCAGTTGTACTGTTGACCAATCAGTCGAGCGCTAATGTCTGTCGTACGGCTGCCACGACACGTCACAGTGACGTCATAGAGCGCACCTTAGCGTCCCCGCATTACATCAATAGTGAAGGCGTTTCATTGATGGTGGTGAGATGTGTCGCTTTAGTTAGGACGTAATCGTTGGGCAAGTCTTGTTATCACCGTATTGATGGACAACGAGAAGAATATTATAGGTATCAGGCTGCGGGTGCTTGCTTGACACTGAACTGATACTTGATCTATTTCTACAAGCCAAACTCCCTATTAGTTTGAACAGACACCCGGGCGGCTACACAAACGTTCCACAAGCCACACTACCCATTAGGTTTCAGTTATGTATTTGTTTTAATCTAGATCCAGTAATTATTCTTTTCGAAATGTTCATTCCACTGCTAGGATTCTCCACCTAAGACGGAGATATAATGTTTTGATTGATTATATACACATCAAAAGTATTTAGGCACCCACCAGAATTTTTTGTGAAGTAAATCAGAATCACAAACATGATAAAATGGACAGAGTGTAGCATTATGTTTGTAAAGAGCAATCATCTGGGAACAAAAACCAAAGAACAGTTGTGAGCCAGAATGAAATTTTACTGCTTATCTGGAGCATCTATAAATTATTGCACATAATGAATAAACATGTTTATTAACGTGCGTTAATGACATTCACGTGTCAAAACGTGTAATAACGGGTGAGTGAGCATGATTTTACTCCGCTTTTAGCAATATTCCAGCAATATCACGGTGTGGGACACCAGAAATGGGCTTCAAATATTATACCAAAGTCGGGAATCGAAGCCGAGTCTTCGGCGTGACGAGTGTACGCTTTAACAGCTAGGCTACCCGACCGCCCCTCATGATGCAGAGCTGCTGCCAGTTGATCCAGATTGTGTTGAGGGTCCATTTCCTGCACTCTACGCCCAAGAATGCCCCATATGTGCTCTATGGGGTTAAGATCGTGACTCATTGCAGGCCAAGGTAGAGATGCAATGGTGTTGTTTTTGCCAAATATGCTTTTGGCACAGCTTTTGAATGGTGAGGTCTATCGTTATCGTCCATGAAGAGAGGCCTTGATGCCAGAGGGAGGATGTCAAAATGGGTTAAAACAACTGGTTCCAGAACTTCCTGGATGTAACGTTTCCCAGTGAGATTGCCCATGTATAGTTACAAGGACTAGCTTACAATCGTGGGATATGCACCCCCCATATGGTCACAAAACAAAGATATAATTATTTCTATGATATAATGCTAGGCCACAGGGATCAGACCAGCACGGTGGAGGTACCGTACAACATGCTTGTGTCTTGTAACAAAACAAAGATATAATTATTCATATGATGTAATGTTAGGCCACAGGGAACATCCCAGCACGGTGGAGGTACCGTACAACATGCATGTGTCTTGTAACAAAACATATGACGTTATAGTGGGGGAATTTGTTAGAGACAAATGGCATGGGGACAATTTCCTGATTTTATCCACTTTTGACAGGACTTCCTTCTGTATCCATTGGTATCACTGATTCTGCATCATTAGGAATTTAGCAACCTTGATGAATGGAATCTCGAATAACGTCACAGACATTAATAACACTCATTACTCCAACATCTGTTTATGCTTCTAGTAACATAGGTGGTGCTTTCATCACTACATGTACTTGTTTTTGTTTCCATGTCAAGTCATATTCGTCTCTGACGATGCCCACACAGTGCTGTAGTATCTACATGACATATTCTGTGTTCCAGCCTCCAGTCACCCGAGCGAGAGTGAAGCACTGAGACCTGGGGCGGCACAGGAGTCTGAGCTACCCGGTAGGTGGGAGAATACTGTGGACCATTGGTGATAGGGTCATCAGATGTGTCAGAAAGGTAAAGTAAAATGACGCTTCGTTCAAAACATATTCTTTAAAATGTGCAGGTTTTACTTACTTACTTTCTTTGTAATATGACATCTACGATAATATACTTAACCGATATAACAATAATACTGTGTGAATAATGTCAACACTATTTCAATATTAGCATCATCAACAGCAAAAACATATCACCTAATGAATATAATTTTAATGATGACATCTTCCTTAAAATACATCTTAGAAATACAGTCATGCTACGTCACAACGCCACAGGGATGTGTCGACAATTATGTACAGTTTCACTCAATTCTAACCATCGTGTTTGTCTCCACAGCCACCAGCAGGGAAGGGGAAACACGGAAGTCTGGGATCCCCCAATCACCTGATACACGAGGTGGGTGGAGACAATGTCACATGTATTGTAGTGGGCAAACCACTCTCCAGACATACACACAACTGTGTTAGAACTGTAAGACCTGATACACGAGGTGGGTGGAGACAATGTCACATGTATTGTAGTGGGCAAACCACTCTCCAGTCAAACACACCACTGTGTTAGAACTGTATGACCTGAAGCACGAGGTGGGTGGAGACAATATCACATGTATTGTAGTGTGCAAACCACCCTCCAGACATACACACAACTGTGTTAGAACTGTAAGATCTGATATACGAAGTGGGTGGAGACAATGTCACATGTATTGTTGTGGGCAAACCACCCTCCAGACATACACACAACTGTGTTAGAACTGTAAGACCTGATACACGTGGTGGGTGGAGACAGTGTCACATGTATTGTAGTGGGTAAACCACCCTCCTATCATTCACAGAAATGTGTTAGAACTCTAAGACCTGATACACGAGGTGGGTGGAGACACTGCTGCTGTAAAAGGTAGGACATGTGTACAGAGTTTACTTTGTGTTACAGCGGCACCGACTCCCGCACGGAGAGACCCCGAGGCAGAATCCGATCTCCGTGACGCCAGCATCGAGGGGAACATGGCGGCCGTGAAAGGGATCCTGGAAGCAGGTTGGGTTGACGTCAACAGCAGAGGTGGGGACAGCCTGACCCCTGTGATGAGGGCAGCACTGAGGGGACACAGAAAAGTAGTGGAGCTCCTGGTGAGGGAAGGAGCTGATGTGTCGCTGGTGAACGTGTACGGTGACAACATCCTTCACTTGGCCTGTCGGGGAGGACACATGGAGACGGTGAAGTTTGTCCTGTCCCTGAACGTGGTGGACATCAACAGTACAGGATGGAGGAGCAGGACACCGGTGATGGAGGCAGCAGTCTGGGGACACAGTGACGTGGTGGAGCTCCTGGTGAGTGAAGGAGCTGATGTGTCACGGGTGAACGTGTACGGTGACAACATCCTTCACTTGGCCTGTCGGGGAGGACACATGGGGACGGTGAAGTTTGTCCTGTCCCTGAAGTTCGCGGACATCAACAGTAGGGGATGGAGGAGCAGGACACCGATGATAAAAGCAGTATTGAAGGGACACAGAGAAGTGGTGGAGTTCCTGGTGAGTGAAGGAGCTGATGTGTCACTGGTGAACGTGTACGGTGACAACATCCTTCACATGGCCTGTCGGGGAGGACACATGGAGACGGTGAAGTTTGTCCCGTCCCTGAACATGGTGGACATCAACAGTAGAGGATGGAGGAGCAGGACACCGGTGATGAGGGCGACAGTGGTGGGACACAGAGAAGTGGTGGAGCTCCTGGTGAGTGAAGGAGCTGATGTGTCACTGGTGGACGATGACGGTAACAACATCTTTCAGTTGGCCTGCGCGGGAGGAGACGTGGGTACGGTGAAGTTTGTGCTGTCACTAAACGTGGTGGACATCGACGCCATGAACAACATTGGACAGACAGCGGGCGACAGGGCGAGGCTCAGGAGATATCAGAAAATTGTGAAACTTTTGGAGCCGCCTCGCTGTCATGTGATGTAAATAAGAGAAAGGTGGTGGATCGGGGCTGTCACCTGAAGTCAGTGTAGTATTTGGGTAGATTTATATCATAGATGCATTGATAGGGTTCGAAAATGGTTACATATACTACTTGAGGACATTCGTGGACGGTCAATGCAACTTATGTGTGCGTCTGTGTGCTTGTGGGGGGGTGGGGGTGGGGGGGGGGGGGGGGGGGTGGGGGGTGCAGGCAGGGTAACATCAAGTGCCATTAGTTACATCTTTTGGTCTCCGGGCAGACGTTCTATCCACTAGACCACGGAGACAGAGGGGGTCTCAAGACTTTAACTTGACACCCCACACGCCACCCTATTCACACTGCTTTAATCGACTAGGAACTATTTCTTTTCATACGAGTTATGTAAGGAGGCGAGCGGTCTCATTGTGCAACACATTCTTCACTCCTTGAGTTGTCAAGTTGTTAAGTGTGCAATAAAGTCATCATGTTGCTAGTGCTTCAATAATCCCTGCCGTTCAGGTTGTTGTAATAAAATCTCAAATCCATGTGATTTCAGAAGTTTCTGTCGCAACTGGGTGACCTGTACTTATTACATTATTGCATATTCACTGTTTTACTGATTTGGAGCTGATAAATAACAGGTTAACTTCTCGTCAGTTGTGATGCATATAATGTTTAACCGCGAGGATCTCAAAATGTCTTTTCAAGACAGCATTTTACACTGTCTTCAGCTATAGCTGCATCACTATGGAACATAACTAATCGACAGATAGTGAGTGGGTGATAAACAACAGAGTGCTGGGGGGTTCGAAGACACCGTTAATAGGCTATAAACATTCAGACCCGACAACATGTGTCACTATACTGTCCAATTGTAAGACTGTGATGTGAATCTATATATACTTGAAATATAGGTAAACCAGATAGAGCTCTTTACCCCACCCGTCCTTTCTTTGTTTGCCGATACATGTTTATGGTTCAACCACACTAGGGGGGGCCAAAATATTCTGCCCGGATCTAATGGTAGCCTGGGCTCTATCAATTCTGTGTAGGCCATGAAAATGCCTCATGTTAACCACATAATAACGCCTAGTAGCTGAGTATCATTAAAAATACATTCTTTAAATAAAAGCAACCAAACACTTCCCATATTCATAATAAACCTTTGCATGTGTGTTGTCAGTGCACTAGGAGCGTCCAACGTTATGTACCCTGAAACTGACGGAGTGGTCTCCCTTGCACCGTCTACAGTGAGCACTGTATCATTTATCCCACACTGTGACAGCGTTGACTGACTGAACTAACAGTGAGAGGCGTAACCCGCACCCGGCATGTGTTGTCAAGTACTATGAGCGTCCAGTGTGGTGTACCTGAAACTGACGGAGTAGCCTCCCTTGCATCGTTCATTGCGAACAGTAGTTTCACCAGCCACTGGGACAGTGTTGTTTGACTTTTCTCGCAGTGACTGATGTAACCCGGCATGCGAGATGTCAATGTACTACAAGCGGCAACTGTGCACTTGAATCAGCCTGAGTAGTCTCCCTTGTTCCCTTCTTGACATGCAATAGTGTTCACACAATCAAAGTGTTGGTTTGACTTCATACAGTGACCTTCCTACTGCGATTGTATGAATTGTTGGGTACAGCAGATAATTGTTAATTGTGTTCTTGTACTTGTATGGATGTAGAACTGACTAGCCTCTTGATCTGTGATCTGTATGTGTGTAGAGTCATGTTCTGGAGATTTATGTAACATTATGCTCGATGCGTGTGTGTAATTATAACGTAATGATTCATGCTATAACGTGTAACGCATGATCAACACATGTTACATGATGATTCCCGTGACTAACATGCTCATTTATTCATTTGCGTAATGTGAAGATCTATGTATCTGTGTAACGTGATGTCATTTTAATGTGATGATCTATGTTGTTATTTAACGTAATGCACGCTGCATAAGTAAAATGACTGTGATGTTATTGACGTAGTGATCCATCACTTGTGTGACATGATATACAATGCATCTGTGTAAAGTTGTCATCTGTGTGTTTATCCATTCTGATATGTTGCATAATGATCTATACATGTGTAATGCGATTACTCATACGTGTGTGTAATGCCATAATCGATGCATGTGTGTAACGTGGAGATACATGCATGTGCTTTATATGCTGATCTGGGCACGTGTGCAGGTTTGACATACATGCATGTGTTTTACAAGCTGGTCTAGGCATGTGTGAAATTTACAGATCCATTGAGGCCCGTGTCCCTCTATGCATGTGTGTTACACATTAATCTATAGTCAATGGGTGAGTATGGTTTTACGCCGTGTTGGGCAAAATTCCAGCAACATCACGGCGGGGGACACCAGAATTGGGCTTCACACATTAAACCCATATGGGGACTCGAACCCGTGTCTTTGACATGTCAACCATCAGGTGATCCCCCCACCCCAGCTGATCTATATATAGGAGCTTGAGTTCTTCGGAAATATTCTTTCCACATCAATCACTTCATCGTCAGACATTGGTAGATTTTCCTGTAGCTTCAACTCAAAACATCCCCTACTTGTTTGCATAGTATATCACCTGAAGCGTGACTCTTACCCTTTTTGCGAACACCTGGTGTCATCACTGATTTTCATGAATCTGTTCATATAAACTTACCACTGTTTTGTCTTTTACGCCAATTGATCAGGATCTGTTTTGTCAGATAATCGAGACGAGGTTATTTTCTGGCATTGATGCTTTCTATATGTCTGCGTATCTCTTTCATGATTCAATGATATAGACTATTCAATAACACCAGACTTCTAAATAATGAAAGGTTCAGGTGACATTTACATTACATAGTAGTGTGTCCTGAACACCACAAAGGTCACAGGTCCTGAGAAAAGAAAACTAACCCATATATGTGACTAACACATGAGTGATTTATATGTATACAGAAGGCCAATAGTCAGCTTAAGGCCAATCCTACCATACAGCGATTTTGCTTGTCCAGTCAGTCGAGTCACATGCAGGTGTTTCTCACGCACTCGTAGAACCAGTGGGTTAGTTAAGTCGCCAAGGACTGTACACATGATAACGAAAAACATTTTGTACACAATGGACTGTTCAGTTCGCAAATCTATATTCGTCGTAATCCTACACCCACTACAGAAATGATGTCAATGGCGACAACCAGACACGATTCATTTCTATTGCATCAAATGTTAGACTTGCACATCTCTTTTGTGTTCCAAGTGTACATAATAAATTATGTATATAAGAACAATCCTTATAACCTAACATCTGCAATCATGGTAACTATACCCTATTGAGAGACATTGTACTACCCATTGTATATCGGTCGAGCCACAGTCAGGTGTTGCTCACGACTACGCCTATGTATTCTTACCGTTAGCTGAATATCAACCGCCTGCAATTGTGACAAGGAACACAACAATCCACAAACATCATATTTGTATAGAGGAGGTATTGGAGTCGACATAAGTGACAGATCAATGTTCAGCAATAGTCCAAAATGTTGTATTGAAACAATTTCAATAGCGAGGACCACGGAAGAGTCACTCTGTTGGATTACTATTGGGACAAAACATCGAACATAATAGCTCAACTTGGAGTAGAGAATGTTTGAATATGGAATGTTTCTGATCAGCTCAACGACTGCGTCGTCACCGTTCATTTAAAGCCTGTGGTGACAACATCACAGTACTACACGACCAGTAATTGATCATGATATCATGATGTTCCATCTCAACAATGTCATAATTTAAACTCCAACTGCAGTTTGTATTTGGCATGATAGTGTTGGTAGGACGAATATCTGCATGATTTGCACAGACCCGTGAAGATCCGTGGTAGAATAGGTCTTCAGCAAACCCATGCTTGCCGTAAAAGGCGACTATGCTTGTTGTAAAAGGCGACTAACGGGATCGGGTGGTCAGGTTCGCTGACTTGGTTGATGCATGTCATCGATCCCAAATGCGTGGATCGCTGCTCATGATATCAATCACTGGATTGTCTTGTCCAGACTCGATTAGTTACAGATCGCTGTCATATAGCTGGAATATTGCAGGGTGCGGCGTTATACCACGACAAATATACAAACAAAAGATGATATGCACAGCACAATAAACAAAACTAGCCATGCCCAGGTGTTTTTAGCAGTTAGGATAGGAAAGGGATATTTTCTTTTTTACCTCTGATGATATGAACTGATGACTGTACACTTTGTTATGTCTGCTGCGTTGAACGTGACAGCGTCAGTACACATCACTTTGTATGGAAACGGTCCCCATATTATTGCTGTATTGATTCAAGTTCTGTTCCAAGTTTTCGGTACTTGCTTTGATAAATTATAGTACATTTTTTGTTGAAAGGTACGAAATATATGTGGAGATATTGATATTGATGTGGAACTACTCATTCACTGCTGCTAAATGTAAATCAGATTTTGGTAAGGTAACGCCTGATGTAAATTGCATAGTGTTTATCCATGAAACCTTAATGTTATCTTTGGAGATGGTATAAATAAGGAAAATCACTTACTTAAGTTCTACATACTCATTGAAAAAACAACAATCTTTTGTTCGGGAGTAAGGAATCGGAGACTAACACTTCGACGATTGTTTATACATTTGGTATCAAAGGACACGAGAGTAAGATTAAATATATACAATATGTCAAAAGTCATTTAAAGCCTAATTTTTCTTCCGAGAGTCAGTGATATTCGATGTTTGAAATTTGAAACGTATATGAAATTTCTGCAAAGAATATGCTTGCTATCCGCACAACTGCAACGGTAAGCTACTGTGGTCTCATTTGACGGCTGAGGCTAAAAATATATTGTAGGGAGTCGTAATCAGCACAGGTTCAAAACTGCACATTAAATCAGTTTGTTAGTCATTCTAGGGAACATTTATGTTTGAAGTACAATGAATAAAGCAACACAGTGCAAGATTGGGACGTGCATAGGTCAGGTACCAATTGTCAATGAATACTAGTAACCTGATTTTA